TTCCTCACCGTCTCGTTACTCCTCAGACACTTCCCTCTGATCTGGTCTGCAGCTCAGACCTCTTTCCAATGCCCAGCACTGGTATCGCCTTCTCAGTCGGAACAAAATCCTCCCTATCGGTGCTGAGACATGTTGGGCACTGCAGAGTTCATAGGTCAACAGGACACTATTAGGCCACCATAGGTCAGAAAATAATTCATCAGCAATAAGTGGGAGGTGGGGGGCAGAGATCCGTGGCACAGAGCCCATTTCCAACTACAGTTCTCTGGTCCTACACGGGGGCGGGGAGGGGGAGCGCGCAGGAATTATCTATTCACAGGCATTGCCGCAGATGGATATGCAATGTGGGCATCTTAATACATGTGTGAAATACAGCTGCCTCTGCTTTGCTCGAATCCCCTGGTGCATTCCAAACAACTAAGACAAGAAGATGGAGGCTCAGGGCTAAAAGGGCACCAGGGGAGACTGAAAGATGCCTCCTGCCTTAAGACACTGATGGCCTATAAGGAGAGTCCGATAAGTAATTAGCCAACCGTAGTACAGCTGAAGTGCCCAGATTAAATTATGTATCATATGCTTCCGGCTCCCTAGAAGAGATACATTTATTCTGCTTGGGAAGTGGGGGCACATTAGAGAGGGGAAAACTGGGCCTCACAGGGTAGCAAGGTGGAGATGTTTGCCCGAGGTCAGTGGCACAGTTCAGCAGACATCATCGGGCTTGGGTGCTGGGCCAGTGCTCTGTCCCTCAAGGTTTGGGATCCTTTATGCCCTGCCTCCTCTGATGCTTAGCGTCCAGGGAGAAGATGCCGGCAGCGCCTCTCCAGGGCCCTGATCTGGGTCTCTGGAATGGAATCCGGTAGCCAATGCCTTCTGTGTGCTAAAGCCTCCTGTGCAGTGTGGCAGGAGTCGGCAAGGAGGGCAAGGGTGCACCTGGACCAGTCTCCAAGCAGACAGGAAGTGATGCCTCCTGGGCTCATGTCAGCAGCTGTTGCTTGCTTGGCATGGTTCAGACAAACAGGCAGATGTCCTCAGGGCGACCTTCCTGACTCAGAGAGTTTGGGAACTGAGGTATTCACTCCCTGGGGTGGAGGGGAGAGGGGAGAGAAGGACAGGACACAAGCTGCTGACTCATTTCTTCTCACTGCCTCCCTGTTCTGATTATGAAGGCGGTGAAGAGAACTGGGAGATGAAGGCACTGTCTCGGGATGAGCTCCAGGACAGAAAGATGCTGTTCTCCGTCTTCTGTCCATGTTACCCTCCCTTTCCAGTGATGACAGCAGATGGTGAACCGTGCCACGCGTCCAGGACACAGAGGTCTTTACAACAGAGTGACAAACAGCCAGGCAGTCACAATGGAAAATTCTACATGTGATCTCTCTGGACTGTAGCCAAAGACAAGCACACACACACACACACACACACACACACACACACACACACACACACACACTATTAAAAGTTACCTTCATGTGCATAAGGTATATATGAAAACATGAATATCCTCTTTAGACTTGGGTCTTGATGCTATCACAGCTCATTATGTTTCTAAAATATATTCCATACTCCATAAACAAAATGAGATTTGTAACAATTTTGGTCTCAAGTATTTCAGATAAGGAATGTACATTGTATAACCCCATCCTCAAGGCTAGCTTCCTGGCCCTGTGGTCCATGCTGTCATATGGGTCTGCATCTAGGAGGGCCCCTTCATGGCTTTCCACACACGGAACTTCCCTCTCCTACTATTCTCCATTTAGGGCAAGAACTTCCAGGCGGGCCTGCATCCCAACCCTCGTGACGTGGCCTGTGTTCCGTTGCCAGCAAGCCAGGAGAATTCAGGCCATCATGTTGGATTCTCCCTGTCCCATCACAGAAGCTCTCGGAGTGACTCTGATCATGACATCTGTTTTTAGCAATAGCCTAAGGACCGGGAGCAAGTCTGTCAGGAACCTAGCCTGTGCTCGGTTTTCAGGGAACAGTCACCACCAGAAAAATATGGCATTGATTCTAAAGTCTTTCCTTCTTCAGTCCCTCACTGCCCCTCATACTTCCTCCTGGTGGGGACAGAAATAACTTGGGAACATGGACTGAAGGGTAAGCTGCCATCCCCCCAGCCCTTGGCAGGGCCATGTGGTAAGTTCTCCCCCAGAGTGCACAGCCCGTTACTTCACGCACTAGTCACAGAGGTGGGAAGCCCTGGGGGCTGCCAGGATTAAGCCCAGACCGTGCAAAACAAGCGTTAGCCGTCTAGTGTATTACTGGTGTCAGAAAAGTGGTGCTGTTGTTGCTTACAGTTCCTCTTCTCTTGTCACAGGCTAAAGAAATCCCTGCCTTTGTTCTGAATTCCGCTAACACCCTCTTGCTCCTACCATGGACCTGAAGGATCACAGCCACCTGGGAACTCATTAGAAAAGCACACCCTGTCCTTGCCCCAGAGCCACGGACCTGGGACTGCACTTCACCAATGCTCCCACGTGACTCACGGGGGCATTAACGTCTGAGACCCTCTACAACTGCTAGTGCACACGACTGACCTCCGGCTCTGACCTGTCACTTCCTAATCCCAGTCAGGATGAGTCTGTCAAAAGCACAGCCAAGCCCATCATGATAGATTTATCCAGAGGCCACTTCCTTTCTTGAAGGCTTACCATTTGGCCAGGGTAGACTAGGTAAGGAACATGAGCGATGTGAAGGACATATTGAAGTGGGGAATGGGAGAGCACTGGGGAAGGAGTCATAGCAAGAGGTCAGGGGTCAAAGCAGATGTGAAGCGGGGCTGCACAACGTACTTACAGCTAAGCTTTGTCAACCTGGCCACCATACAGATAGTGCAGGTGAGAAGGGAGAGGGAGAAAGGACAAGCCTAAGTTTCTATGTTGGAACAATGGGCTGGCACTGCTTTATAAAAGCAAGGTAGGGTAGGACAGGAGGAGGAGGAAGAGAAGAAGATCAAGGCAAAAAAATGTGCCTTCTATTTGGGCTTTCTGTTTCAATGGAAGATCAATTAAAGGTTTTTAATAAGAAGAGTGAGGTTCTTGTGGCATTTAATTCACATCTCTTTGTGGAACTTACTACTCTGTGGAGTGCTGAGGGGCTCTGGAGTTAAAATGCCATGGCTTTGAATCTGAGCTCCCCTGCTTAGCAGCTGGGTACGAGTTGATCGGCTTCTGGGGCCTCCACTGGAATATCTGCACACTTGCCCGTCTCCACTGGAATATCTGCACACTTGCCCGTCTCTATTGGAATATCTGCACACTTGCCCATCTCCACTGGAATATCTGCACACTTGCCCGTCTCCACTGGAATGTCTGCACACTTGTCTGTCTCCACTGGAATATCTGCACACTTGTCTGTCTCCACTGGAATATATGCACACTTGTCTGTCTCCACTGGAATGTCTGCACACTTGTCTGTCTCCACTGGATTATCTGCACACTTGTCTGTCTCTACTGGAATGTCTGCACACTTGTCTGCCTCCACTGGAATGTCTGCACACTTGTCTGTCTCCACTGGAATGTCTGCACACTTGCCCATCTCCACTGGAATGTCTGCACACTTGTCCATCTCCACTGGAATGTCTGCACACTTGTCCATCTCCACTGGAATGTCTGCATACTTGCCTGTCTCAGAAGGCTGCAGTGAGGTTTAAGTGAATGGACGCACAATGAACTGTCCACAAATATGTCTAGTGTGTGTGAGCATCCAATAAATAGAGGGCATCATGACAATTGCCTGTTTGTCTCCCTCCCTGATGAAATGGTGAGGTCCTCAGGGACAGGGGCAACTACAGGAAAGCCTTTGTGTCAACTAGTACATAGAAGATACATGATATGGACCAAAGAGACCATAACAGATGTGATTCATTAGGGGAGGCCCAGGGGGCCAGCATGGTATCAGATGAATACAGATGTTGTGGTCCTTTACAGATGTCCTTCCCTTCCCTGCTCCCTTTTTCCTAATCATAGCTTACAACTTCCAGGTAATGAGAATCTGTGCCCATTCTTCTTGTAGTCTAAGCTCATCTACAGACTACTCTACCAACTGAACCTGCCTCTCAGGAAAACCTACTTCCTTCAGAGAGTGATACTGCCCCTCTGTGCCCGAGGAAACGCCACCTCTGAAGATTCGGCCATTCGTTTGACCAAGATTATCTGTGTGACCACAGCAGCATGCAGATGACTGCTGTCTCCAGAGGTTAGGCACCAAGCTGAGTTTTGGTAAAGCCAAGCCCACGCTAGTTCTGGAGCACTAGCCTGTCAGGGAAGAGGCTGGGGAGGCAGCAGATTGTGATAGAGTGTGTGTGTGTGTGTGTGTGTGTGTGTGTGTGTGTGTGTGTGTGTGTGTGTGTGAACAGACGTCAACAGTGGGTGTTGAGAAGAGATGGAGCACCCTCGGGCCCCACGCACCCACCCGGCTGGGACTCAGCTTAGGATCAACAGATCTGAGGGGGTTGACATAGGGCTCAGACACACAGAAAGGAGCTGAGAATCAGGCACGAGTCTCAGTCGGGTGGTGACTCGGGTTGATTCCCTAGACTTGGGGCCTGAGCTACAGATTGGGTTTTCCCCATCATGCACCTAACTTTGCCTTTTGATGAGCCAATAGACCAAAGGGCACCCAAGCACAGCTTATTGAACAAATGAGCCCAGTGAGGTTACCTACAGGAGCATGGGTGACTCCTGGGAGCTGCATCGATGAAAAGTTCCGATCCAGTACAGGCGACTCATAGGCAGCTATACCCCCCAGTAGTCCCCCTCCCAGTCACATGTCTTCTATTGCACCCCGAGACCACGTGTAGCTGGAGCAGGAAAGAGAATGCTAAACACTTTGTTCACCACAGGCCTCACTGTCTCAGTGCTGTCGTGCTTACCTCATGGCCAGCTGAAGGCCAGAGTCACAAGTAACTCAGCTCTCTGCTCACAATGGTCATGTCAAGCCCCAATGGCACAGCCATACTGCATGTCTCAATAAGGCACCTCCCTCACTCATCTTAGCACCAGCAGCCAGGCAGGGTCATCTGCTGGAGTGGAGGCCTTAGGCACATCTGGACAGGTGCAGGCTAATGAAAAGGTGCCAGCATCAGGTGCACCTTTCTTGAGGCCCGTTGGATTTATTTATGACTTCTTCAAGGATGCGCTGGAGAACAAGAGGTGAGTTGAGGAGCTTCTTCAAGAACCCCAGTCTGCAGTCACAGATGCATGGCTAAAAGGGGTTCATAGTCTGCTATGGCACCCACTGATGGGCAATCCTTCCATATCCTTTGCACAGATGGCGCTACTGAGCTGTGACTTCCTGTCTGTGTGCTAGGTATGTGTCCATGGATCACAATTCTGGGTGACTGAGACAAGCCTGCCTGTAAAACGATCTTATATGAACATCTCAGGTGCCTGGGGACATGGTTCATGCACCACCAGGCACCAATTGTCCGTCAGGAGTGTCAAGCGGGCCACTTTGTGTTTGCCCATACAGGCGGTCTACAGATGCTGGTGGGATGCCCTAGCATCTGTTGAGTGTTAGAGATTGAAAGTGCTCAGGGGAGGTCCAACTCCTTACTGTGTAATGAGCTTATATGTTTATGTGCATGTACAAGTATATGTAAGTAGACATGTATGTGTGGATATGTATACATTCGTATGTACACATATGTATGCATTTTGTGCTTGCTGCCTTTCCTTTGTAGTTCAGAGTCACTTCAGGGAAGAGCAATACTTCTTAATTTGGAGGAATTTTGCTTTTAGTCAGGACCAATATGGAATTTCAAAACTGCCCTAGGAGTTTCTCATCACGCCCAACCCCCAACCAATGTCAAGCTTCCAATCCATTTGGGGGGGAGTTGTTTTGTTAATTAACGTAAGGGGCTTTCTGGAGTAATATGTAAGAAGACAACATCCCTGTGCAGTGCTCCCTTCCTTCTGTTTTCAGTCCTAAAGAGTACAGGTGGGTTTGGAATGTTCCACCGGACCTCCAGGCCACACTGGGGCTCTGGACACTTGGAAGGAAAGGAAACCACTGGGCTTTAAAAGAAAAACTTAAACAAGGGAATTTCAACCCACACTAAAGAGCCCCACATGTTCTGAATGTCCACATCATTCTGCTGTTTTAAACATTTTCCTCTTATTATAAAAGCCATACACGCTCTTTGAATATCATTTAGAATATAAAGACAAAATAATCACTTTTCTACAATCCAGGGAGAACCCTTATCATTTCCTCCCCCTGTGCTGGGAATTGAATCCCAGACCTCAGGCATTCTGGGTAAATTCTCTACCACTGAATTATGTGCCTAGTCCTCTTTTCTTTAGAAGAAGAGTTTCACTAAGTTGCCCAGGCTGGCCTTGACCTTGGGGTTCTCCGCCTCCAGACCTCCTGAGGAGCTGGGGCTACAGTCTATACCATCAACCCATGCCCAGCTCATTTTGGAGTATACCTTTATATCTTTTACTATCGTGATAAACTTAAACCATAGCACCCTGCCTACATTATTAAATATTTTTATATTATTACAACTTGAGCATAAATGTAGGTCATTGATGGGGAAGGGACATTTGTTTGACCAACCTAATACTGTCACAGCCTTGTGCTGCACAGACTTTCTGGCCTTGTCCAGTGAAGAGTCACAAGTACTAGTTCAAATACTTCTTTTTCTGCTCAGCTAGTTGACATTCAGTTTCTGGTGCTTTCAGCTACGTCCTGGTGGACACACCCAGTCCAGCTGTTCACAGCTGTCAGCATTTAAGAGAGTGGTGTGGCGAGCAATGGCACAATTTTGTGCGTTACCCAATTAGTTTCTTGTCACTAGTCTTAAGAAGCAGGATTCCCGGATCATGGGCTTCACTAGTGTGGGGTGTAGCTGGGAGAACATGCCACACTGTGCAGGAGCTTCCATGTTGCTGTGAGGAGGACCCAGAACGGAGTGCTGGCTGTGAAGCTTGAAGCTTTACATACAGCAGTTTCCAGTATCACTGCCCACCCTCAAGGACAACTCTCACGTGGATGAGAAAAACAGATCAGTAAGCTGGGCCTCTTGTCCTCAGTCACAGAGCTGAGAAATTGCAAAACTCCTCGAGACTTAGCTGGACACTCTGCTTCTCTGTCCCTCCCAATACAATCATTCCACTCTTCCTCTCCAGATTCATGATGAGCCATGTCACAGGCTCCTACTGAGTTCATCCCAGGAACACATGAGCAAGAGTTAGGAGAAAACAGAAATGTGAGGACAGTATTGATTTCTAATCCTTTTCCCTGGAAGGCCACTCTGCTTGGCTGAGTGTGTCTACCAAAGGTCAACCGTATTCTCATCTGGGTTGGAGAGTTTCTTCCTCAACTTGCCTTCTTCAAGTCTTAGGACAGCAAAGGCCCCATAAAACACCCCCCTTCCTGGGGTTTCTATGGTCCCTTCCCTACGCTACTGTCTCCGTCTCTCATCTATTGGTATCCTCACAATAGCGAGACTCTGCCTAGAGCTGATGCGCATAGTTCCCCATCACCCTGTTTTGTACACCCGTGTATACATTGCACACACCAGTTCCAGTGAAGTGTACTTCGAAGAGCACTGGGATGAGATTCAAGCTATGTTCTCCGAGGTGGCCTCAGCTCTCTTGGATTTAGTTTCCTCATCTGAAAAGTGAGGCACTAGACTAGAAGTTGTCAAACTCATGTATCCCAGGAGAAAGAACAGACAAATGCATGCCAGCAGACACAACATTCACATGTATACTAAGACTCATCTGTAAGCCAGTGTGTGCATTATCTGTGATGGAGAAAACGGAGCCTCTTTGGAAGCAGAGTTGGGGGACCTTTTATTCCTATGGATTTAGAACCTTTGCTGTTTGTACTTGTCCAGATTTGGATGGCAAAACAGTCTATCCTCTGTGGAAATTATGACTTATTTTTCCAGCTGGTCTGCCAGTTGCCAAGAAATGTCATCTGAATATCATTATTTAATCAAAGATTAGTCCACGCCTGTGACATAGGCTGAAACTATTATCTTCTTTGAGTCTTTACATAAGCACACATTTGCTGCAAAGAGTAGACCTGTATTTGTACGGACCAACTGTGTCTCTTCCTTTACAAATGGCCCCAAATCGAGTCTACTGACCCAGAGCGGGCGGGGCCTTTTGTGTATCTTCGCGTACATGAATGTGTGCTAGGGTGTACACGTGAGCAGGAGGCCCTAGATGTGAGTGTGGAGAATTTTCATGTTTGCAGTGCTGAGGACCAAACTTAGGGCTTCCTGCACGCCAGGCAAGCATTCTACCACTGAGCCGCACACCTCGCTGTCAGTCACCTCTGAAGTCATTTCTTGAAAAGTTCCACAGAGGGGCCTTTCCTTAATCCCCGAGCCTGTCGACATGGCCTCTTATTTTAAGAGCTGATTTTTAGTATTGTGTTGTTTTTCAGACTACAGCACATTTGAAACAAAATTCAACCCAGCCTCTGGGAGGCAGAAGGATGGACAGGGCAGTGTTCACAGTCACACGGCAGACCTCTTGGTCAAAGCAAGGGAGAAGAGGGCAGAGGGGCATGGGCTCAAGCTGGGAATGTTGGCCTGGGTGAGGGGAAAGTCTACAGTAGAGGCCTTTAGACTGCTCCCACAAAGTCCGGAATATCTCCAACCTCTCTCGAGCCTGCCTCCCTCGCTGCTGTCAGCACTTTCCAGAACATCTGTCCGTAGCCTTGGTTAGGCAGTTCAGGTGACAAGTATTTCAGGCTGATGCTAGTGAATCAGGGTCCCTGCTATCCTCTGAATAGGGCTCATTACAAGGCAGAGGCTTGCTCCCTCGTTCTTGAAGTTTCTTTGGACCCTTTCATATTTTTCAGCCTCTTCGTTTCTGTCTGCTCCAAGGGACAAGCTATAGCCAAGCATCTAGAACCATCACGGCAGGTCTACATGGTTGTCAGGAAAGAGAAGCACAGCAAACAAGAACTTGGGCTTGGGGGGGAGGGGGGGATGGAGAGGCGGCTAAGTGGTTAAGGGCACTGGCTGCTCTTGCAGAAGATCTGAGTTCAGTTCCCAGCATGCACCTGGTGGCAGTTTACAACCACCTGTAACTCCAGTTCCAGGGGAGCTGATGCCCTCTTCTGACCATCAGGGACACCAGACTTGCACATGATTCACAGACATACATGCAGGCAAAACACCCATACGCATAACATGAAATAAAATAAAATAAACAAAAACCTTTGGGACTCTTCGTCACTTGATTTTTCTCAGACACAGATGAGGCAAGAGAGGTTGCTGGCTTTTTTGTTTAAAAGACGATAATAATGCAAGTAGAAGTTTTCAGTTAATTAATTAATTAATTTGTTTATATTATTTATTTTCCTCTTTTCAAAGCCAGCCCATGGATGTGTCAACTCAAGAGCAAAGGAAATCTTAACAATAGTCAACAGGATCTTCATGCCAGGGTCCCTACACTTCACTGGCTATCTGGAATGTCATAGGCATATAAGCATACTTTAAAAAAAATGAATGAGTGAGTGAGTGCTTGAGTGTGCAGATGGAGGAAGATGGTTTCCAAAGTAAATCCTGAAAATAATCTTTGGAAAGAGGGGAGGGGAAGCAGCCCAACACTTGCATTTGTTATAGAATAAAAGATATCAAATCGCTGGCCTTTCTAAGAGACCGGGTCTTTAAATCAAGCTGGACCGTCTTCTCAAGCTCCTCTGGGTGGCTGGACGAAGGCTGGCTGTGGAGGGGGGCTGCCCCATGACAATCAGCCCTCCATCCCCATCTGAGCTCCACGGCGGCCGTTCCTGACACTTTCTCACACTGCTGTGCCCACCTCTGCCTGGCACCCCCCGGGAAGCGGGAAGATGGCTAGATGAAGAGGGTGACCAGAAGCCCAACCATACATTTTTCAAGGTCCAGTTGCTAAGTGTAGAGTGACTCATAGGAACCTCAGACAAGAATGGCAATGGGAAAGAAATCGAACAGACCAGAGGAGGGGCTGAGTGAAGGCGAGGGGGACTCCAGGTTGGGAGAGAATAGGAAACATGTTTGTAAGAACTCCAGGATTTTGGGGGGCTGTTGCAAAGGACTCTTTCATAAGGCCCATTATACTTCTGGGGTTTACATCACTATTTGATCTGAGCCCCAACAGGATGGCTACATCTGCTACTAAGCTGTGTTGTAAATGTCTTTAATTTTTATATTTCATCTGAAGGGAGTTGTTAAAGCAAGTTTACAGGGTGATGGCTCTTTGAATAAAAGCCATCAATACTGGAGCCGAGCTCTGTATGACACTTAATTTTCACTCTAATAAGCCCTCCTAAAACATTACAAGATTTAGAGCCTTTCTTTCCCTTCCTTTTTCTCCTTCCCTTTAACTTCCCTTCCCGCCTTGCAGTTTTCTCCGAGAGCCATCTTCTGAGCCCCCTTTCTTGCCTTCCTTAAAGGACAGATTGGAAGAGGGCTTTCCTGCCCACATGCCATCACTTCCCCCTTCACCGCCAGCCAGATGTGCTCTTGACTTCTGAACAGGAGAAACGTTTCTTTGAAGTTTTTCAAAGACTTTGCTTTTATTTAGAATTTTTTCCCCTTTCTCTCTTCCTCATATTTAACTGGTTGGGAAGCCCCAGGAGGGGTTTTCGCCTGGGTCTCTTTTCTTTTCCTGGGGCATAAAAGGAACGGGATCAGAGGCACTCTGTTCCCAGAGAGCCTTCTTGTTTCTGCCCTCAACGACTCCAAGTATTTTCTGTCGGAGCTGCTGTCCCCAGGAGCAAAGGGAAGATGGCTTTGGATTTGCCCTAGAAGCACAACTATTAAATGAACAGAATGGTTCTGACGGGAGTGGGGTCTGGAAAGCAACCTACCCCTTCTCCGAATATCTATCTTATTCTCTTGTCTGAGCAAAAGGAAGCTCCCTCTTTCCTCTCTATGTGCCAGACATGGTTTCTCAATGGCTGTGAAATTTTGTTCGAACAAAGACCAGTAATGGGAATTTCGGGGCACGTCAGCAAACAAAAGCAAAACAAAAAAAACCCCAACAGATCAGCACCCTACCATTAGACCAGAAGTCCTCCCAAAGCTGGAGGATCACAATCGTCTCTGTCCCCCAGAGCATCCAGCTGGCGAACTGCTTGGTTTGCTTTGGCTCCGGCGCGGGTTTAAAGGCGGGCTGGGAACGTTAACGCTGTGGGAGGCAGCGGTGACGGCGGGCTTGTTTGCAGAGCAAGTTAGTCTTCTGCATGATGTGTGAGCGTGGAGGGTTTGGAGTACGGAGTCCAAATCAAAGTCCCGCTCCCCAGCTGACCATAAATTCCCAAAGGACAGCATCCCACTGACACGTTCTCAGGCCCCAGCAAAGTGCCAGGGACTCGAGGCCATCCGGCAGGAAATACCTGCTGCCTGCCTGCATGCTTCTTTTTGACAATGGCCATGACACTTTTGGAGGGAAGCGTGTTCGGTTCAGAAACACAGATTTTTGTTTTAGTGAGTTTTTAGAGAAAATAGTAATTAGGGGTTCTCTGAAGATTTATTACTCTATGAAAATATTTGTATTTCCTAAAAACCTCTGAGGTTGCTGAGGAAGCAAAGTAGGTTTAGATTTGGAGGTTTTTGTTTTTGTCTTATATAAGAATGTATTGATTAAAACCCAAGAGTGTGTGTGAGTGCTAGATTTCATTTATCTGACGTGAAATACGTTCACTCCTGTGTCCTCATTCAAGCATTCATTTGGCTGACTTCTAAAGATTGAAACATATAGAATTAATCCAGTTGGAGTACACCATCGGGCCCAGGCCTGAGTCATAATGGCATGCTGCAGATAATGGGGAGGGTTACAGGGATTGTGTCTAGGTCCAATCCCTTCCTCTCGGTCAGTTCGCGCTCATAATCAACCCCGGAATGTGCCTTTTTCACTCCCGACTCAGGATTAAACCCCGAACATCATGTCTTTATCTAGCTAAAGAAAGAGCTCACCAAACATTCCATGTCCCCCGCTTTTCCCAGCTCCCCTGGTATTTATATCAGGACTCTGTTGTGATTCAGACCAACAGACTATGAATGGGGTCGAACACTGCTGTGTTGTCAGGGTCTCCCAGCCTCCTCCAATCCTCTCTTTTCTTTAGCTCGCAGGGGCCACATACATTTTAAGGTGCAAGGAAGAAGAAAACACCAGTTTCACTCAAGCTGAGATGCCAAATGGCTGTGTAGAGCGGAGCCTCCCGCCAACCATCCTGGATATAAGATGTGAGTGAGCAAACTTCTACGACAAACACTGACATTCAAGACTGACTTGTTATTGCCGCACAGCCCTGCACATCCTTGTTAATTCACCCTTGCCTGTCAGGCAAACCAGAAGGGACTCATCTGTTCCCAGCCATGTCTTCTGCCAAGATTCCAGTTCACAGCCTCTCACCCGGGTGGCTGTAGGAGTCCTTCCACATCTAGGTCCCTGGCTTGTCTCACTCTGATTCTTCCTGCCAATTTCAGACTCTACAGCCTCCTACTTCAACACCCTCACTGTCTCTGCTTAAACTGCTTCTCTGTCGCCTACACGACAAAATATAAGCACAAATACCAGAGGCATAGAGCTCTCCTTGATGAAAACTTAAACCTGGTCTTCCCATCTCCTTTCCCCAGGTCTCAGTCCCAGCGAAGCTCAGTAGTCCTGGCTCTGTCACACCCTCTCCTCTAGCCAGGGCTAAGTTTCCTCTCAGAAGGCCTCCACCCCACATCCCAACTGTTTCTAACCCACGAAGGCTCCACGACCAAGTCACCCATGACACTCTCTCCCTGTGGCTCCACGGAGGTGATGTAGCACACAGCTGACCCCTCACACCCTGGTCCTATCTGTAGCAGTTAGCCCTTTCTTCTTATGCTCCACCAAGTCTAGAAACTCCTTACATCAACATTCTCACCTAATTCAGAAACTAGCCCAGTACCTACACACAGTACTCGCCAATGTTCTGCTGGAAGAATACACAAACAATGAGACAGTATCTCAGAAACCCAGTAGGAATGACGGTTAGTGTTCCATTGTGTGGTCCACTGAGTGCTTAAAACCATTATGCCGCCGAGAGTATGGTTTAAAAAGCATCTCCAAGGTGTTCGTTCAACTCCAGCACTGGGGGTTCCGATTCTACAGCTCTAGAGTGGGTGCTGGCATTGCACATTTTAACAGGAACACAGGGGGATTCTGATCCAAGAGATCTGCAGGCCACATTGAGAAACACTGAGGCCTATGCATATTGAGTACGTGTTTGTGAGTGCTCTCAGTGTGTGGATGAAATGCGCCAGTTTGCGTCGCTGGTGTGCAATGCTTTACGTTTTATCTCACTTGTCAACACCAATACATCGGTAGGGGCTGTCTGGAGGACCGTTTTAAGTAGGTCTCTGGGGCCACATCTGGACTACACAGGAAAATGTCCTGTGATTGATTGATGATGTCTGCCACAGGACCAAGAGGAGAGTGGTGGCCTGGGTGCCAGGTGCCTGCCGGCATAGCCAGTCCCCTATTCAGCAGACACAATGAAGATCAAAGGATCATTTGAGACTTCATCCAGCCCACAACCAGAATGGCTTCACTGTGGACTTCCTCAGGTGACTTGGCTGCAAGAGAAAATAAAATCAAGATGTGGCGTGAAAGGCACGGTGGAGAAAGGAGCCGCGGCGTGGCTGTAGCGAGCGTTTGCTGTTTGTGTCCACAGCCTCCACTTCCTCCTTCAATGGCACCTTGATTTTCCTTTCCTGGAATTCGCTCCTCTCTGTCTCCTTCTAGTCTCATTCCAGTGGTGCCCCACCACCACCTTCAATCCCGGGGTGGGCCCCATGTACTTCCGTCAAGAGGCGTGTCCTGTGTGGGAGTTCCCGGATGCTCTCCTTGAGTGTGAAGTCTGACCCGCCACGGTCATTGTGTTACCACCAGAGAAGAGGCTGCGGCTGGGGCAGTCTCTGAGCAGGATGGGGATTCCATCAACCCTGCAAAAGCGAGCCAGCGAGATGGAAAGAAGCTGGACACGGGACGGCATCGGAACCACAGGTCACGTCTGACCTGACAGCTATCCCCCCAGATTCTTGGATACGGGAAACAACGCACTTTCTTCATTGTCTAACAGATTTCTTCCGTCATTTGTTTTCCAGCAGCTGCTCTCAGCTCTGTGATGGGGAAATGGGACCTAGTGGTGTTTGATTCTAGTGCAATCCAGATACAGCAATGGCGCTGACCAGTCAGCCTGAGTCAGTGTGTGTCTCAGACCTGAGCCCTCGGCATCTGCACCTCTCCAGGGCGCTAAGCACTTATACCTGTAGTCGGTTGTTCTTTTACTCTTTTGGCTCTTTGCTCTTTGGGGGCCTGCCACCCAGCTCCCAAAGAAATATACACACGGAGACTTTTTTTTTTAAATGTGTGGCTTTAGCTTGGCTTATTTCTAGCCAGCTTTTCTTAAATTATCCCATCTACCTCTGGGCTTTTGTCTTTATCCTATATACCTTTCTTTCCTTCTGACTCCATGGCTTGCTAGGTAGCTGGGTGGCTGGCCCCTGGAGTCCTCCTCTCCTTCTCCTTTTCGTGCTCCTTGCTGTTTCTTTTTCTCCTTCTATATATTCTCTCTGCCTGCCAGCCCCGCCTAGCCTTTCTCCTGCCTAGCTCTTGGCCGTTTTCAGCTCTTTATTAGACCAATCAGATGTTTTAGACAGACAAAGTAACACAGCTTCACAGAGTTAAACAAATGCAACATAAAAGAATACATCACATCTCTGCATCATTAAACAAATGTTCCACGGCATAAACAAATGTAGCACATCTTAAAATAATATTCTACAACAGATGACTCAGCTTTAATTGCTATGCTGGGGAAGGCCTTTGGAAGTGCCACTGCCTAATGTCAGAGTTTTGAGTCTTTTGAACTTGGAAGCATGTCACTACACAAATAAAAATTAAAAAGTGAATAGCCAACAAATCACGCTGAACAAGAGTTGTTGGTTCACACATCAGCACCTAGATCAATGATTCCTTCTGTGTGATTGAATTTCTATTTTTTTTGCACATTCCATTATTTTAAGTATGAAAATATTTTATGAGCCACTTCTTTTCTACAGCAACAGCTGAAAAGGGAGACTTCAACACTACTTACCCTTACCCTTGTCAGTGTGGACGTCATTCCGAAAAGTCTGAATGAATAACCACCCTGCACCGTAAGGACGCCAGCCTCCGTGTGGGTTGTTTCTCCTTTTTTCTTCCCTCCATCTGTTATCATTTCTCTTCTAGATTAAATGTAAAATTGACAAGAATGAGACTGTCTGCAAGCTGGAAAAGTAATCACTTGAAAAATGACTCTCAATAGATCACTTGGTGGTATGTAAAATTTAGATGGGGGTATTATTTTTCAAGACATTACCTCTGTTCAAACAGGTCAAATACAATACTGTGTCCAGCTTTGAGGAATGGCACTCTGCTGTGGATATTGCTCTATATAAATAAAACACTGATGGCCAGTGACCAGGCAGGAAGTAGGTTGCCAGGCAGGAAGTAGGTGGGACAAGGAGAGAGGAGAATTCTGGGAAGCGGAAGGCTGAGGAGAGACACTGCAGCCACCGCCAGAACAAGCAGCATGTAAAGACTCTGGTAAGCCACCAGCCATGTGGCAAGGTATAGATTTATAAAAATGGGTTAATTTAAGATAAAATAACAGTTAGCAAGAAGCCTGCCATGGCCATATAGTTTATAAGTGATATAAGCATCTGAGTGATTATTTTATAAGTGGATTATGGGACTGTGGGGCTTGGGGAACCTGGAGAGAAGCCCTCCAGCAACAGCACTCTTCCTCTTCTTCACTTAGTCCCTTCAGTAGCAACACTTATCATTTTACTCCTTCTACTCTACTATCTGTCTTCTCTCTCTCTCTCTCTCTCTCTCTCTCTCTCTCTCTCTCTCTCTCTCTCTCTCTCTCTTTCTCTCTCTGTATGTGTGTGTGTGTGTAGACCAGGGTAGGGGGGGTAATAGAGTCTGTCTAAGAAGGAAGCCTTTCACATTGTCTTCTCAAATGATATTGTCAATTTCCTCAGTTTAGAAAAATATTGGAAAGAGAAACAACCACCAAACCTAGAGCACCTTCCAGTCAGTCTCCTCTGAAAATCAGCACTGGGTCTGCAGGCCAGCCCTGCTCTTTTCTTCTCCCCACCAAAATTATGCCGTCTGGTTTCCTACCTTATGAAATACCATCGATCCACTCCGAGGAGAGTGGGTTGTAAATTAATGCATGCGTCGTCGTCTCCCATCGGATGGTTGAAGCTGGAAAGCCACAGCTTTTAGGATGTTAAATATTTATAGTCATTGTTTCAACCAAAATAAGGGCTTGCACAGAGAACAGGATGCAGGCTGCAGTGGAGAAGCTTGCCTCTCGTGCTGTGTCTTTCGAGAGACTTCTGAATGACAGTGTCCATGCAGACCTACGCTGCAGATGTAGAAGCTAACCAAAGTACCCCAGAGGATACATGAAGGAGACCAGCAGTCACCTAGAAGAGTTTTCTGCACATCCTGGAAATGAAAGGTTCATTTAGATTATCCAGTTTTCCACTCCAATTCTGGCAGACTTGTTCATCCTCTCAATCCTACCCCCAAGTGTGGAGAAAGACTGTGCTCCTCAGATACTCTTATGATGGTCATCACTGTGGATCAGTGTTGCAGACAGTGATTGTCTTACCATCGTTACTGCTGGAACTTTGGATGCCTGAGGTGAAACAGCTGAGATTTGTTGTTAAGGAAAAACCTCCCAGCAATTACAGATTTGTGAAAGCTTCAGATAGTTTGTGAACATAGAGTAGTATTTTAGAGGATAAAGCTGAATTCTCATTTGGATAAAATAACCACAGGGAAGTGTATTTACTTCCTAGTCTTGCAAAGGAATGCAAGATAACAGTTTTCGTAGTCAAAAATGGTAGGAAGCAAATCATACTGACAATATAATTTGTAATTAAGAGTTGGTAGGGGAGATTCGAATCCCTGCAAAAGGACTTCATATCAAACATGTCTCTAAGAGATCAGCTGGGCCCAGGAGGAGTACTACACTCTCTGCCAGACAAGACAGGACAGTTTTTGAGCATCAAAACTTCTGAGTTAGAGATCAAGTAATTGCTTATATCTTCACCTTAATCTCTAAAAAGTTTAAACTGGCTTACAAAGATGTTAAATAAATTTTGCATATGTTTACATTTGAAGGCAAAGGAAAAATCAGGTGAACAGAGTTTGATAGAGAGAAGCAGATGAATTTACTGAACACCTGCCATTAGAGATTCTAGGTTAGCCTATGGAGGGAGGGTTATGGGCTTGGCTTTGAGCTTCCTAGAGGACGCCGTGAAAAAGAACATAGAAGGTCATGGTATCTAGTGTCCCGTCTGTAAATCTAAAACAAAAATAAATATTCTGTTTGGGGAAGGAACACAGCGATTCCTGATGCTATGGCCAATAATACATTTCTCCTGGGGGTCCTTGTAGGTAACGAACTCCATCTTCTGAGGCATCCCTGACCAGATTGATGAGTTTCATAGTTTGCCTCCTGTGAGCTGAAGAGGCCACAAGAGTCACGGGGCTTCCTGGGAAGTTTTCAAAGTCTATTTAAGGTTAGGACAGTAAAATCAGACTCACTCCTCCCATGCACCAAGGCTCACACACTGAACTCTTCTGCAAAGTGCAAATGCTAGGCCGACAGAGCTTGATTAAAATATTGTGAAGGGCAGGCATTTCTGAAGAATGGACATGTACTGCTTTTCAGAGTTTGCCTTCCAAGGAGACTGCCCTGGATTTGTTGTGACCCATCATCTCAGGGTTGATGAACCCATTAAGTTTTCAAGACTCCAATGACGATTGCTTTGTCTTCAGCTGTATGTCTGAGATCCTTTCCTTTTTATACCACGACAAAGCTTTTCTGGGAGTAAATATGATGGTTTGAAATACCTCCAATACTGCCAGAACCCTTCCCTGCTCTTGAGACATCTGTTTGTCTTTCTAAGGATGTTGTTCATCCTTCTTCAAGTCCCCTTTTATAGTTGGAATGTAAAAACAAACAAACAATCAAAAAACCAGCCCCTGGATCATAGTTAATTGATCTAGGGTGGTAAACGTTCCAAACTGGGCCTATCAGAATTCTTACTGGGAATTTTCAAATAGAGCTGGAGAAAGAGTTTCTGTTTCTCCTTGGTGCCATTATTGCCATATGGGGGCCTGGGGGCTCTGGTTGGGTCTTCAGCCATGTGGCAGCATAGGCAGAGCAGAGGTCTAGATAGAGGCAAACAGGGGAAAAAGAAGTATTCAGCAGCATCATGGCCCCTGGTCCAAAGGCCTTGCTCTAAGCACTGCTAATTCTGCATTGCCAGTTCAACACGACTTAATGTTACTCACAAGCAGGAGTTTCAGGTAGTACATACTTCTACCCTCCCCTCAGACTGGTCACATAAAGTTCCCCAAGTTTGCAAACTCAAGAAAATCTACAGCCCTGGTAATTACTCCTGCATGTTTCCCAGAAGGAGCCTGTTTGATTGGCAGTTCATGCGACTGCTGATTCTCAAAA